TTCCCCCTTCCCCCTTCCGCCTCACCCACCCAATCCCCCGCCCCGCTCCGTCCATGGAGCCCGATTCGGCCCTCGCCGCCGCCGTTCGCCCCAGATTCGCGGGGGCATTGCCCGATCCACCACCCGCGTTTCTCCCGACCCGACGCGACCACCCAGGGCTCCGCTTCGTGTTTCAGATTATTATTATTATTACCACGAGCTCATAGCATCTTCATTCGTTTATTTTCCCCAAGTTGAATCGCGCCATTGCTGGCCCTTCCCTTCCCTTCCGATCTGACGTTGCACTTGCCGCCCCGTGTAGACGCGATTTAAAATTGTGCTTGCTTCCTGCCTGCCTGCAGGGGCTGAAACCCGCCGAATTTTATTAGGCGGAGGAGGAGGAAGGGACAGAAACAGGGCACACGCCACTCTGCATTTTTTGGTCTCACAAAAGGGACTTCGGCATCACTCTGCATCACTGGGAATTTTCCATTTGGAAGGCCCGGTTACTGAATTATGGTGCTCTGTCAACCGCAACCCGGAACAGTGAATCCCGGTCCCGAATGTGCGTGCGAAAGCGCAAGAGAGGAGGGCGCATCAGCTTGAGCTTGAGTACAGTCAGGCGGCGGGGCAGGCAGGGCCAAGGGCAATGGAATTCGCCGACAAATTGCTCCTGGTGCTCCGGAGCTACTCACTGCCTGTTTGGGCCACCATCATCTCGGGGCTCTTTGTCGTCGTCTCGGTCTCGCTGTCCATCTACTTGCTCCTCAACCACCTCTCGGCCTACAAGAACCCAGAGGTCTGTTCTGTTGGTTTCTATCATCCGTCGGTGTTGTTGAATTTCTTATTTTCTATACATCGGTGTAATTTGTTGCTGGAGCTGTGTTCAGCTCGGTGTCTTTGTTGTTTTGGACTCACCGTTGCTGTGTTTCTGCCTTTCCCAGGAGCAGAAGTTCCTCGTCGGTGTCGTTCTTATGGTGCCGATATACGCAATCGAGTCGGTAAGGTGCTATGACATGTCTTGTTCAAGTGTGCAGTCACAATGTTGGCTGAGGGAGACCAATTTAGCCGTTAACTATTGTGTCTTATCCTACTGTTGCAGTATATATCATTGGTGAATCCAACAATTGGTGTAGATATTGAGATTCTGCGAGACGGGTACGAGGCATTCGCCATGTACTGTTTCGGGCGGTATCTAGTTGCGTGCTTAGGTACGCCTCTATCTAGCGTTCCAACGCTATCATCCATGTCTCTGCCCTTCCTTATAATCTAATCTTATTCATGCTAGGTGGAGAAGATAGGACGATTGAGTTTCTGAAGAAGGAGGGCAGTTCAGGTTCTGATGCACCACTTTTAGGCAATGCATCCGAAGAACGACATGTGAACCACCCTTTTCCGATGAATTACATGTTGAACCCGTGGCCCATTGGCGAATGGTTCTACTTGGTAGTTAAGTTTGGGCTTGTCCAATATGTAAGCCGCTCTTTAGCTCCCATTCCATTTGATTTTGCAGCATCCGACTTCTGAGGAAAATCAAACTAATCTGTTCCCCTTTTCCTTTGGTAGATGATAATAAAGACAATATGTGCTCTTCTTGCGGTGATTCTTGAATCCTTTGGGGTGTACTGTGAAGGAGAGTTTAAATGGAACTGTGGGTAGGATACATACTCATGAGGCAACCTCTGTTTTTTTTCACTCAACAATCCTTGCATGAACTCGTCTCATTCAGCTATACTGCCGTTGTACTACTACCTCTGCTCTATTCAAATGATTTTTTAGATTGCGACGCTCAGTTAATGACTTAATGTACACACAAGTGTTTGGATATGCTATGTGTAAAACATATTACTAGATTTTCATTAAAACGAACTTTACTCTCATTGTATTTTAAATAATAAAAATGACATTGATTATCACCAATAACCGCCATCAAAGCTGTTTACTGGAGACATTTTCAGTGTCCAAAATGACAGGTAAAAGAAAACAGAGGTAGTACCATTTTGTTGACAAGTCTTTACTCTAGTGGCATTCATGGTCTGTATCGATATTCATGAGAAGAATGTATGGTATATCAAACCTTGTATCCTAGATTTAGTTGTCCTGCAGCTGTCATTCAGTTACAACTTGGAACATTCATGTTACCACACACTCCCTCCGTTCCAAAATAACTGTCTCAACTTTTGTACTCCCTTCGTCCGGAAATACTTGTCATCAAAATGGATAAAAGAAGATGTATCTAGACGTATTTTAGTTCTAGATACATCCCTTTTTATCTATTTTGATGACAAGAATTTCCGGACGCAGGGAGTATAACTTTGTACTAACTTATTTTGGGACAAAGGGAGTATTTGTCAAATTTAATACAAATTTCAATGAATGGGCTTGAGTTTTTGGCATCAACTTTTCCTCGTTAGCATTTATAAATGAATCTAACAAGCTGCATGGGAAATTGGGAATACATTTATGCTATCTTTGATTTAGCAACATAACTAACAGGAAGTTTTACCTGTTCTTTCCTCACCTCTGCTTTCATATGTACTGCTAGCATCATGGAACCTACTCATGCATCTAATGATGTTTAGTTAAAAAAACATTTTCTCGCTACTGATGAACTAGTTCTGTGGGCATGTGGTAGGATCGGTGAACCTGTTCGTGCATCTGATGATCCAGTAGTTTTAAACTTTAAATGCATTCTCTTCCTACTTACGAATTGCTATCTTATTTACCAGGTACTCTTACACTGCCATGGCTCTCAATTTCAGTCAGTCATGGGCCTTATACTGTCTCGTTCAATTTTACGCCGTCATAAAGGACGAGCTAGCCCATATAAAGCCCCTAGCGAAGTTTCTGACATTCAAGTCTATTGTGTTCTTAACATGGTGGCAAGGTGTGGCAATAGCGTTGCTCTCCAGCTGGGGCTTGTTGAGAGGCCCTATAGCTCAAGAGTTGCAGTTCAAGTCCAGCATTCAGGACTTTATCATCTGCATAGAGGTGGTGACTTGTTCCTGATTATACCATTTCAATTCCTTACATGATGCTGACAAATCCTTGTTTAGCATGCTTGCATTCTCAATTTTGCAGTAATCCTAACGAAGTAATATATATTTTTAGATCAATAGGCCTCAGCCATGTCCCATTTTCCATTGAAAATGAAACAAAGTAACCAAAGTTATTTTTCTATCATTGAATACAGATGGGTTTTGCTGCTGTTATTCACCTGTACGTCTTCCCTGCCAAGCCATACGAGCTAATGGGCGATCGTTACGTTGGAGATGTTTCAGTTCTGGGCGACTACGCTTCAGTTGACTGCCCTCTAGATCCAGACGAAGTTAAAGATAGCGAGCGCCCAACCAAGATTAGGCTTCCCCAGCCAGATGATCACGTCAGATGCTCCACCGCCATAAAAGAAAGCGTCCGCGATGTTGTACTCGGAGGAGGCGAATATG